TGCTCATTCAAGCCATGTTACGTTTACATCAAGTAAAATGCCTTGTGCATCATTTCCCCCAAATTGGTTTCAAATTTAAAATCAAGTAGTGGAGAAAGTATGAAGAAAACAAAACATGTTGTGTAAACCTCTGTATTCTAACCTCACTGAGGTAACGTTCATTTCCTATCTGATGGAAAATTCTCTATTCTACATCTTTACTACAAAACGCTTTTCACTGCGTTATTTTGGTCTATCTTCAATTCCAGGAAACTGTAAACAAAATGATGGATCCAGTGAATTTTTACTGACACTGTTTAAGGCTAGAGTAGTGCCTGTCTTCCTTTTGAGGCTTCATACAGCTCCAACAATCTTCAGCAGAGAGGGAGGGAGGGCAACCTGTGGGCGTAGCCTGAGAGGCAAAAGACAGGGCAAAAATGACCTGTCCTCATCTGGACAACTGTTTAGAAATATTTGAGTGAGGGGACACTGGTTCTGTGGGTGTTTAGCAACCATTACAGGTTATTTCATTAATTTAAAAACATCTGGCTTGGTTCCAGCTCAGGTTAATCATTGCTAAGTCAGCATTTAGCTTCAGCCTGTTTGCTTGGATCTGTGACAGTGGATTTAACTCAGTTCAGTTTTTGGAAGACTGTGGTTTAAAATGTCGTTACAGACCTGATGGACTGAAATTAAGAAATATTGCCCTCTTCCCATTTGATGCCACTATAGTAACCGTTTGTAGGTTTGACGAAGCTGCTGATAGAAAAATAAAACCACACATGCACAGTACAGCTTGGTATGCGAGTGGCCTATAAAACCAGCGACCTCCAAATATACACCGCCTCCAGGGAAACTTGTCCTTGTTTAGGTTGAAGGGATGGTTTTATGGTCTACAGAAGCCAGGCCCGGATTTACTCAAGTGAAGACCAAGCTGTGAATATAACCTGCAAAAGGAAAGACCTAGAAGTCCTTCAAAGGTAAAAGACAAAATCCCCTTGCTTTTCAAAGTGATGTGTATGTTTTATGATTAGCAGAAGGATTTGTTGGCGCCTCGTGCACCTCTATGCCCTTTGAGAAGTGGTACTACTGCTTTCTGACATGCCACCACTGCGGTTGAGGTTTGATATAGGCAGAAAAACTGTAGGGTCAATGTTTTGTCTGCACTAAACTACATGTAGCTTTGCCTTTTAAGATTGTTGCTGTAACTTGCACATGCCATTATTGTCATGACTGAAAACAAATCCACTGTTTAGTCTTAACAAAAATGGATTTAGAGGTTCATATGAAGTTAGTCTTCAGTGTGAATAAATCAATCTTCCAAAGGAAGGACCCAGTTTCCTCTCTGTTTCCCTGCGGAGCTGCAGCTGAGGCATGGTATCAGAAAGGTAACACTGTAAAATTAGAAAACACCTTCGGAATAGTCCAGAATTACTTCAGACAAACTGCAGAATGAATTTTTGCACATGAAGCAGGGCTGGGTTTTAGACTTCCTCTGTGCTCTATTGACACAACCGACTTGTGGTGCTTTCAGCATCTGTATAGACGTGCACACAACATATTGCCAGAGGAGGTCACATTTCAGAGTTGCTGGAGGGCATATACAGCGATTTCCTCTTTATGGAGGTAGGTCCTCTGTTTTCAGCCTGTGTGCTAAGCTAAGATTAGCTAGGTTTTAGCTGCTATGAAGTGCTTCTCTTGTAAAGTCTGCTCTTTCAGGTGACCTAGAGGAAATGTGTTGTGCTGAATACCCACAATGCTTTGCTTTGGACAGTGTTTCTGGTGATTTCATGGCTCTCTACGCATTTGGGCTGAGGATGTTTCATTTTGAATACAACTTGTTTACGTTGGGTAATTCTTCCAGTAGCCAGAATAGCCATCTGTCCTCCTCTGGTCGTTGGTGTTTCCCTCTGCTCTCTGGTTAATCTCCTTAAAGCAGGAACAGAGCTGCCTGCTGAAGCAAAACAAACTGCTGATTACACAGCACCGTTCCTTTGTGCTGCTTCCAGCACTGCAGAAATTAGAAGATAATAAGCCAACACAGTAAATGGTGTCGACCCGAACGGCCACCTTTATTGTCTCCTGTGGCTCCAGTGTTTTGTATCTGAATGTCCTTAAATGATTTATCTCGGTGAAGGTAATTTTATAATAGTGACACATTGTGATATACTGGAAAATTCAACTGAGGAAAATATATTTTTACCATAAGACAGTTTTCACCACTGTAACTATGCTGCACTGTCTAACAGCATATTGGCCCACATAGAGACATCCAAAACAGTAATTATAACCTGTAATCAGACTAGTCCTGCTGACAAGACATCAGTCTATACCACGGGTCTCCAACACCTCACCTGCAGCATGAACTTGCTTTTAATCCTGTATTTTACATTTTGGTAAATGGAGTAACCTGCCTCAGATTTCTGAAACTGTGAGTACAGTATGTTGAAACATTTGATGGAAAGGAGTAGGTTAGGTGACACACAAGCAGAAAATTACTGTTAGGAGGAGGGTGCTGGAGTGGAGGTCTAGGTAACCAAAACACATGACCTCCTCCAGCTGAGTGGGGTTTGAAGACTTAACCATGTAGTGTTGTTCCTAAACCTAACCAAAACTAGGACTAAATGTAATGATAATGATGGTTTAATAATAGCAATGGCATGTTTATGGCAGTTTCCATGACAATGGAGTTGCACTTTGCTTGCCATTGTGGTGACTGTTTCTGTGACAATGAAAGTCATATGTTGTGAAGTTCTTGCAAGTCCTCCTGGCAACCTAGTGGTGCTGTTTTAGGAGACGCTCCTGTGGGTTGTATGAGGGGTAAGGGAGAAACGTCATGCGTGGCTCGTGTTGGCTGGTTCCAGTGGAATGAATTGAGTTTTGCTGTTTTGGTGTGTCCAGGCCTTTAGCAGGGTAACAGCTGGGC